AACATAGTCTGGATAGCCCACAGACATACCATAAACATTTCTAGGACCCATAATTGGTCTCCTTTAAACCGTTTGTTTGTGGCACTTAAGTTTTGGCAGGGCAGGTTTAAGAGAGATGAAAGGAGGAAGAGGTTTAGTTAGTTTTAACTTTATCCTTGAAAAATGTGGATTTTAACCAGAAAGGGCAGACTCTCAATGGATCCAGCCAGACACAGGTATGCTCAGTAACGGGCAGCCTTTATTTTGATTGACTGAGGGCGGAGTCATCCACCACGGATCCAGTCAGAGGAAAGATCATCCAATTGGTGAAGAACTTCTTGGAACATCATCCACTCGGACACTTTCCAATCATGTTACATTACTCTTTCCAGCGTCTTCTGGGCGGCTTTCAATCGAAGATCAGAGACGAAGCTCTTCTCTGTCTCCGTTTCAAAAATAGAAAACTTCTGCCATGGAAGTTTCAAAACAAAAGTTGCTCTGTGTGTAGCTTTGGTAAGCCCAAGCAGTGGTGAGCAGGATGGAGTTGTCCTGCTCGGCTGTCGGGTTTCTCACTTTTGCGTGTGGGCCGAAACCTCCACAGCTCGGTTGCTGAGTCCTCCACTAGGAGAGACCAGCTGCTTCCTCGTTGAAGCACGAGCACATTCTCTTCTCGACTGACTGTTAGTTCAGAGATGTTAGTTTTAAAAGAGAGGAAGTGTTATTGAGCACTGCCAGGTGTTGTTTTTCTTACAGTGGTGAAAAGATAACTCTGCCCCAAGGCGAAATTTGAAAAATGCATCAAAGTGGGTAGGGGAGGGGGTGTGGGTAGGGTGGGGAGGTTAGAGAGCGGAGGTGTGGCCAGGACGAGTGAACGTGACAGACAGCTAGCATTAGCATAATTGATGCTACATGGAGAGTGACCACAGTATTGCAGACAGTTACATCTCTGAATGGTCTGAAATGGAGGATTTTTCACCCCACTCTTCACTAGAGGCAGAGAGAGACTTGATCAWGTCAGCTCAGWCTGGGACTGACTCATGTTGGCTCCGTGTATCAGGACCTGGAGCTCCAGCAGCCTCGGCAGAATTGTCCGCCTCACACCACACCAGCCTCTGACAGAGGAGGAGGAGCGCTCCGACAGCCTGACAGAAAAAAATAAAAGCATACAGCTGCAGCTGCTCAYATGATCACTAGTTTAAATCAGGAATAAAAGTGTTGGGTCTTGTTTGACTGAAGTTCGGTCCGGTTCGCATAYATTTCAACCTCTTTGGACGTTTACCTGTATAAAGAGCCCTAAAAATTTTGCAAAAAGACCATACAACTCACACCTGCGGGGGGGTTAGCTGCGGACATGAAAGCACCTGCTGCGAAGCAGGAGGAAAGGAGAGAAGAAAAAGTAGCTTATTTCTAGCGGCAGAACAGGTTGGAAGATGGCTGTTTGATGTTATTTATTGTTTTTTAAATCATCCTRTAGGCTCTGACATGTTAGATAAATTTGAAAATGAGGTTTTTAAAATATCCGTAAGACTTGAAAAAATCCGTGAGAAAGCTCTATATGTCTGTATACTGTACCTRCAAAATGATGTAAAATCCTTATAACTTACAGACAATCTGTCCAAGTTGACATGTGTGGGTTCGGGCTGAAGCTGCCAGCTGCCTTTCTGTCCCCTCCTCCCCTCCCGCTGTGCAGGACTGCTGGTCTCTCTCTCTCTCTGTGTGTGTGCGTGTGTGTGTGTGTGTGCGTGTGTGTGTGTGTGTGC